TTGAGTGGCAGTGTGAGATCAGGGCTGCACTGCTCCTTGTTCTTCTTGTCTGATGGTTTGGATTGTTTGGGGTCACTGATGCATTGAAAAATTATATGGGGACATTTTTTTTCTGCAGAGGTTCATACTGACTTGGAGGAAGGACGCATTAGAGGATCTGAATGGAAAATGATCAGTTATGATGAAAGTATTACATTAAATGCATTTTAAAAATCCACCTAAAAGTTATTTAGACTTACTTTTATTTGTTTACATTTAGACTGCTGCTGTACAGGTCACTGATGAAACACTGCAAATGAGTCAAAACTCTCCAGCCATCATCAGTCATTCCCATCGAGGTTCCTCAGCATAATGCTGCCATAGCAGACTTTCTGGGAGTTATCTTGTTTTCCCTTTAGGATTTTTCAGGAACGACAGACATAGCCTGCCTGGAAACGACCTGCAGATTATCTTTTCCAAGTGTGTGTGTTTGAGTGATAAAGCCATCTGAGATAAGAGCGGGAGTGTATTGTAGCTTCTTGCATTAGAACAGTTTAGGCCAGTTTAGCACATGCACATACACGGCAGAGTAAAACTTTGCAGATAGTAGTCCAACACTATCTACTTTTCTTTTCTTTTCTTTCTTTTTTTTAAATTTTTTATAGCTATTCTTGGGAAAACCACACAATCTCCCAGACAGAAGCACCTGGAACTCCCCAAGCAGAGGAAGCCGAGGGTCCCAAATTATTTTGTATGCCCCTGTGAGGACCCACACTTCATATAGACACTGAAGGTTTTCAAGGTTATTAAAAGTAGTGGTACAACATACAGTACCCAGTTTGCTTCAGTTTAAAACGACCAAAACACATACCCTTTTCATTAGTGTCATGTCTACATTAAAACTTGCAATTTCCTATAAAGAAATTTTTGATTTAGCCTTCTACATATTGGATCTATATTTGAATAAAATGGTGTGGTGGTTTACACATTTGCCTAACAAGTAAAATATCTCCTGGCTGCTTTCTGGGTGGAAACACAAACTCCAGCTTCAAACTCTGCCAGATCAAATATACAGAGCAACCTGTTGTGATGACACTTTGTGATTTATTTTTTATTTTATTTTTTTTATTTTTTAAAAATTTATTTATTTTTTTGAGTGGCTGGAAGCCCGCCTTTATCGTTGCTGTCATTTATTAAATTAGATTTTTAATTATGAATTTGGCAACCAACAAATAAAACCAGGAAACCTTTGAGAAAAACTTCAATCTGACAATGCTGCTCTCATTTTGATGATGAATCAAATCAAATCAAATCAAATCACTTTTTATTGTCACATCACATGTGCAGGTACATTGGTACAGCACATGTGAGTGAAATTCTTGTGTGCGAGCTTCACAAGCAACAGAGTTGTGCAAAATACAATAATGTAAACAAGCAAAATACAAGAATGGCTACATCTGAAACTAATAAATATATGTACAATATATAATAGTATATGCATTTCTGGATGTGTATACTAAATATTTTTCTACGTGTGTGTGTGTGTGTGTGTGTGTGTGTGTGTACACATATTTTACAAATTAAATAGAGTAAACAATAAATAAAATGTATAAAAATATACAGAAATATACAGAAATGATTGCTACAGATAATAATAAGTCTCAGAGCAGACTGTGCACCTGATTTTAGTCATATAATCTTTCAGAATAGAAGAATATCACTATATATGATCCCAGTTTAGTTGACATGTTAGCATAGTTTTGTTCTTACATTTCTCCACCTCATCTTCTACTTTAATAACCAGATATATGGGGGGATATAAACAATGGCTAATTATTAGATCAATAACGCATTGAGATATGCCAATTCTGATATAGTTACAACCAAAGCGTCACATGAATTTAAACAGTTAGTCTACAGTTTTCAAAGGATGTCATGTTGGTTGTTGAGCTGTAAGTAAACTTTGACCTTTCAGCCATCTGTTTAATTCAGTCTTACTAATGCTTGGCTTAAACTAACACAGAGTGTTAGTTTAAGCCAAGCAGAATTTCAATAAATGTTAACACTAAAGTGGATATACTATGTTTTCCTTTTTTTGTCATATATAAAAATATTGTGACAGTGGTGGATGGAGGTCATTGTTTGCTTCAGTAATCCCTGTGAGCAAAAAGCTCAGGCTGAAGTCTAAACTCTCTGTGTCAGACAGGGTCTTTTTTCTACTCTTGGTTTTCACAGAGAATGGATATCCCTAATATGGTCGTCACGACTCTGACTGCGGGTACAGAAACCCCACTGACCCATTCTTCAAACCTTTTGCTTACGAGGGTCAGCCAATCAGAAGAAAGTTGTCTTTTTGCTTTAGTAGAATAAAATACAGTGCTGGAAATCAACATTATAAATCCGCTCACCAAGTTTTCTAAACACCTGAAAGGTATTACAGCAAGACAAGTTCAGTACAGCCAGGCCGGTTGGAAATGGGTATCATGACAGTAATTAACAACTTAAGCCGGGCTTTCCACTTCAGGTCTCTGCACATTTGCATTAAAAGGGACATTTTGTGGGTCATGTTACTCTTTTTTTTCCATACAAACTTATCCCTATGATGTTATCTGATGATGATAAGTCCGATAAGTAAGTGATAAAGAGATTCTAAATAACAAAATTATAGCATTAGAATGCAAAACTTTTGCAAATAAGATGAGATTAATGCAGCAGAAAAATCATTAATCTGTGTATAGCGTGTTAAACATTTTAATTCAGGTTAATTATTTTATCACTGAGTGCAAGCTCAGTCCTGCTGTTTATTTCTAGAGCTCTGAAACTTTAAACTGGATGCATTTAAACTGTTACTGCCCCATAGGATAATAAAGTGAACGTGGAAATCTCTTTAGCTTATAAGCAGATTAAACTGAAATTCATTTCATTGTTTGAACAGGTATTCTTTGTGCGCTCTGTATTCCTCTAGCAGATGAATAGAAATCAATACATGCACGTTCCTGTGACAATGTGTTGCTTCATTCATGGTTTTTAGCAAAGCACAACTTAACAAGTTGCACATTTAAAAATTGTTTCTCCACCAGAGAATGTAGTTCCTGTGGCACATAGACAGACACAGAAAACTTTAAGCTTGACATCTGGTTTTTCCACAGGTTCTTTTCTGTAGACAAAAGTAGTGGACCAGTACTGGAACACAGAGTTCATGCACACAGAGTTGTCCGACCAGTAAAAACTGGGCCACATTAGAGTATATTGACCATTTAATCCCGAAACAATAGCCTTACTTGTAACTATTTTTTTTTTTTAAAGGCAGTAACGTGAAGTGATATAATTAGATTCTTGAACGTGATGTTTATTTCAACAAATGCCTCCAAATGGGAGATATGACTGCAACAGTTTATACTGCTGGCTTACAAGCTTGTCTTTTTTTGTCTTCCTTTCTGGGAAATACTGTATAACCAACCATGCAGCTGCTCCCTCTCATAGATGATGTGACAGACTGTATATTTTTGAAGACTGATGGCTAATTGAACTTGGTGCACTTAGAAAATTCATTTATTTGTCTCTTCTGAAAGAACCTTTTGAGAAGTTAATTTGCGATGGGAGGAAGCGCAAAAAGGAGTAGATCGGGAGGCAAAGGCATAAGACTCAGTAATGGGTTTATTATGGAGAATGAATGCTGCCTTGATAAGGAAGGTGAAACAGATAAACATGTTATATTTACTTTGATCCTGCTGCTCGTTGACTCAGTCACATTAATAAGATATTTTTTGCCACATGGTGCCTCTGAATAAAGAGTTCTGGCACATCCTCCTGGAAACCTAGACACAAAGATTGAACGGCAACAGCAATTCTCATAAAATGTTTCCTGCAACAGGTGCTCAAATCTTTTTTTCAGTTCACCGCATGATGCTACAGTAATCATTTCACACTATAATATAATATAATGAGTAATGAAAACAACAAGTAATGATGCACCAGTTGGTTTTGGAGAAACAGAGGACTCTGCAGTGTGAGTACTCTTGTGGAGATTTACTAGAATTCAGAGCTTCACTTACTAAAATGTCAGTCGGTAATTTAAACCACCTGTAAAAAGAAACTCGAGCGGGTTACTTTCAGATCTCTTTGTGCTTCTTCATTTGGTTTTGTTTTTCTTTTGCTCTTAATGACCTGTTTTCCACCCCCATTCAGCGTTTTTGCAGAACAGGATGTGCACGTGCTGGCTATCAACTGCTTAGAGTGTAAATGTCCAAACAGTGCGGTGTATAGTTTGGAGGAACAATGTACAGAAGATGATGAGTCATTTCCTGCTTACTGTGGGAATGATTTAACCCACATTAGGACAACAGATTAATCTCCTCTGG